AAGCTCATAAAGCTGAAAGACTGGCTTTATAACTGCAACTCAAAGCACATTTTGTGTTAAACACCCCCCCCCCAGGGATGCCCTATCCTTAACACTGACATTGCACTGTATTGGGGGTGGGAGGTATATGCTCTGTGGTGTGTTATTAAGCAGAAGTGGTTTCCATCTGTGCAGTGGAAATTGCATGGCCTATCGTTTTTTAAAAGTTCAGAGGCAGCCTAGAGTTCTCTAGCTAATAACATGTAACAAAGCCTAGTCTAAATTTCCATGCATAAGGCCCAGAGCAGACGTCATTAAAACTGAAACATAATTGAAATACTTTATTGTCACTTGTACAACTTGTATACAGTGAGATTACACGAGCACCCCCACTCAGCTCTCTTAGTCTTAATTCGCCTCGTTTACTGACGCACACCCACCAAACCTGAAAGTCAGTTGCCCTGTTGTTATCTTTTCAGTAAGCAGCCTAACAGCCCACGGATAGAAGCTGTTCTTTACCCTGTTGGTGCGACTAATCATGCTTCTGTATCTTCTGCCTGAGGGCAGGAGATCAAGAAAGTGCCCGCCAGGGTATGAATCATCCCTGAGAATTTTCCTCACTCTCCTGAGGCAATGTTCTTCTGTAATGTCATCCAGCGGATTCACGGGACAGCCCATAATATCTTGTGCTGTATTCACCACCCTCTGTTGGCACTTCCTATCAGTAGATGTCAAACCGGCGTACCACACTGTGATGCAGTATGAAAGGACACTTTCTATTGTGGACCAGTAGAAGGAGATCATCAAATGTTGATTGACATCATTCTTTCGCAATACTCTGAGGAGATGGAGTCTCTGTTGGGCTTTCTTAACCACCTGGGTTGTATTGATTTTCCAAGTAAGGTCTTCACTGAGATAAACTCCTAGGGGTTTAAAGGAAGAGACTTTCTCCACACAGCCCTCCCCAATGTACAGCGGGGCTAGTTCTCATCTCTTCCTCCTAAAGTCCAACACCATCTCCCATAACCCATGCCAAGTGTTATGGGTGCCAGAGAAAATAGCAGTGATGTATTCAGCTCCTCCCACCTTTCCCATAATACCAAGTAGAGCTTACTGCATCCCGTGACATCACAGCGTTCCACTTTTTTCCGTTCAAGTAATGGGCAGCCAATGATGTGGTGTGTAAGTGATGGGAGACTTAGTCCAAAACATCTATATCGTACCACATTGAGGAAGGCTGACTGAGAGGATGATCCAGTAGGAATGATGCTGTATTTCTTCTTTGGCAATCATTTGTAGCCGAGTAAGATTGTCTTCCATGAACACGGTCTTAACAGTGAGTCCGTAAGTGACTGTGGAGGCCAATTCTGGATCCACACATCCTTCCACAGTGGGGACATAGGTTTCTGGGTGGGAGTTGATCATGGTGAGGGTTTGCCAAGCATGCCTTCCTCTTAGCACATTTCTCCCTTTCATCCCAAGTCCGAGTGTCTTCAAAGTCTATGACACCTTTGGTAAAGGCTGTTCTCCAATTGGAGCGCTCGCAGGCCAGTGTTTCCCAATTGCTACATTTTTTAAGATTTGCCTTGAGAGAGTCTTTAAACCTCATTTGTTGACCTCCAGCATTACGCTTTCCATTTTTAAGTTTGGAATAGAGTAGTTGCTTTGGAAGACAATAATCAGGCATCTGAACAACATGAGCAGTCCAACGAAGTTGATGTTGAAGAATCATTGCTTCGTGATCTTTGCTTCTTCCAGTACACTGGTGTTAGTTCGTCTGTCTTCCCAAGTGATGTGTAAATTTTTTCAGAGACACTGTTGATGGAATCTTTTGAGGAGTTGGAGGTGGTGTTTATAAGTGGTCCATGTTTCAGCCCTTGCCCTGCCTGCTGCTATCAATAAAGATTTGGCCTGATTTTATCCCATCACCCTTGTACAGTCTGCTTATTTTACTGCTCTCATGGGTCACATACAGGTAATGTGCCTGCCTGGGCAATCCACAAAGGTGCCAAAGTCAAAGCAACAGCAAAAAATCATTTATTTATTTCCACAATGGGCCCACCAATGAACAACCCAAGCAATTAATTCCAAAGGATATTAAATATGAGTGTATTTATTCATAAACATAAATTAATTTATTTCCTCAATACACCCACCAATAAGCCCAGTTAATCAATTCAAGAAGCCATGAGAGATAGATATACTTACTTATAAATTCCTTTATTTCCCCCATATACCTAATGATCAACAATGCAACTAATCTAACAACTGAAAAATATGTATTTTGCTGCAATCTATGGACCACAGCACCACCGGGCAAAGGTTTCCTGTGCTTATTGGGCACGGAATGGGGCTTCATTTAAAAGCACTGCTTCGTTTATAAGAGGTTTCTCCCCCCTTATTATTATGTATTTCTCTTCAATTAATGGAGCCTAAAATTAAAACATTTAGCATGTGTGGGTTCATGAAATCTCTTGAGGTTAAAGATGGGTTCTTGTACTCACAAAGGCTAGCAACCATTCTTCTAGTGAATGAAGGGAAAACAACAGAGCTAAGGGTCAAGCTATGATTTAAGAACTAACCAAGTTATTCACAAATAATTTCAAGTATTGAGAATAACATTTGGAATCGTAAGAGCCAATCTAGGGAGAAAAGAAGCATCATTTAGTGAATGCATTATTCACACAATTATTGTAAATTATTAATTTCCTTCTGCCAGGTTCTGTGGCTGTCAGGTTAACCCCCGTCTTTCTTCTTATTATTATTTTTAAAAAGCAACTGTTCTCAAAAGTATAAGTTACAAGATAATGAGTCCTGTGAGATTTCACATGGAAAAAGTAATCTAGTGTGCCTTTATTAATATTTGAACTTCGAAAAACTGAGGAATAGTATAATTAAAGATGCCTAAAACAATGCTTCATAGAGTAACTGCTTATAACATTTTGAATGTATATCTATTAGTGTAAAGTCCATTGGACAGTTGAGAATGTTAATGCTGCAATGCAGTACAGATGGTGCAAAGATTAGTGTCAGACGAGGAGATGGGAGATCAGGGTTCAAATCCCCGCTCAGTAACCAGAAGCTCACAGGGTGACCTGGGGCCAGTCATCGTCTCTCAGCCTAACTTACTTTGCAGGGTTGTTGTGGAAATTAAATGACGAAGGGTGGAACTACATCTGTCACCTTGAGTTTCTTGAGGAATGTGAGATATAAATGCAATAAAACAATACAAAATGGACACCCATGACAACGTGCCATTTATCCAGCTCAAAAAACCTTTCAGACCTAAATGTCTTCAGATAGTAAGCACCTGTCATGTCATGACAGAAATGCTACTCTATAGAGCCACACTAGAAGTCCTGTTCCCAGTTGGAGAGTGGGCTTCTGAGTGTCGTGTAATTCTACTCAATATGATCCAGAACAGAACTCCAGTGTATAGTTAGCAGAGTAAAAACTTAGACACGTTGCGGGATTTCCCCCAAAATAGACCAGAGGCAGTTGTATTTCATCTAGCAGAGCTTTACTGCTACAGAAGGCAAATGAGTATAATGATCACAAATTCAATACATTCAGGATTGGCACTGTCTATCACGCCTGCTTCTTGGGAGAAAAGCGGTGACAAACCTAGACAGCATCTTAAAAAGCAGAGACATCACCTTGCCGACAAAGGTCCGTATAGATAAAGCTATGGTTTCCCCAGTAGTGATGTATGGAAGTGAGAGCTGGACCAGAAAGAAGGCTGACTGCCGAAGAATTGATGCTTTAGAATTATGGTGCTGGAGGAGACTCCTGAGAGTCCCATGGACTGCAAGAAGATCAAACCTCTCCATTCTGGAGGAAATCAGCCCTGAGTGCTCACTGGAAGGACAGATCCTGAAGCTGAGGCTCCAATACTTTGGCCACCTCATGAGAAGAGAAGACTCCCTGGAAAAGACCCTGATGTTGGGAAAGATGGAGGGCACGAGGAGAAGGGGACGGCAGAGGACGAGATGGTTGGATAGTGTTCTCGACTCTCCCAGCATGAGTTTGACCAAACTCCGGGAGGCAGTGGAAGACAGGAGTGTCTGGCATGCTCTGGTCCATGGGGTCACGAAGAGTCGGACACGACTAAACGACTAAACAACAACAACAATAAGAAGTCCAGTTGCAGCAGACTTAACTTAAACTTACAATAACTTATAATAAGTCTAAACCTTAACACTAAGCCTACTATGTACAGAACACCACACCAGAAGGAAGAGAGGTAGAAAGAGAGAGTGAAACCTAGGCGCTGTACTCAGCTTCTCTGAAGGAATAACCCAAACATCACCGATCTTCTGCTTGTTTCTTTCACGCAGAGAAGTTTCCAGAGCCCTCTTGAATTAAGTAGAATAGGAAAGAGCAATACTTTCTGCACTAAGAAATGCAAACTGACGCTGAGATCTTTGCAACATGCGGGAGAAACTTCTGTTGCGGACTGCAAGGATCTACTGAGTGTAGAAGGTGGTCTTATACGTTTGGTGCAGCAGCGTAGCTGTTGAGCTTTCTTTAGGAAATCAAAGTTGGTGAGTTTTTTCCAGGGCAAGCGCCAAAATTCCTTAGCTGCCGATTTCAGGGACAGGAACACACAGCAGCTACCATGCCACCCTACAGACCTTTGTGCCGCCTGATGCCCCTGGATAGCTATGCTACTGGTAAGCTGGTCTCTCAAGTAACCTGGTCCTGAGCTGAATAGGGCCTTATTTGCTAATATCAATGCCTTGAACTTCGCCTAGTCTCAAGGCCCAGCCAAAGGAAAGTGCATAGCATAACCTTTTATTGTCAAAGATAAGAGTTTGCAGGAAATTATACGACACCAGCTTTTTAGAGTATTCCCCTCCTTTGGTCTGCAGAAATGCTAAATGGCATTGCAGCAAGCAATTGTTACTCCACACTTTCCTGTGCATTTTCCCATCAGTTTCCCTGGAATCACAGAATTGTAGAGTCGGAAGGGACCCTGAGGATCATCTAGTCCAACCCCCTACAATGCAGGAATATGCAGCTGTCCCAGATGGGGATCGAACCTGCAACCTTGGTGTTATTAGCCCCATGCTCTAACCAGCTGAGCTCTCCAGGCATAATGCAAATAATCCAGTTTTGGAGGGAATCAAGTTTGTTAAACAAGAGCACCATATCAACTTCAACTGTGCAATGTGAATTTGTCCGTACATGGTTGAATCCCACCCCAAGAGCCCTACAAGTTCCTATTATCTCCATAATAGCCTTTAATTTGTGCGCTCTTTGTATAAAGTAATGGACTTGCCGCTGTTATATGTCTTCATTGTAAATTCAAAAGGTAAAAAAATGTACAGTATATGCAGTATATTATTATGAAATAGCCTGCAAATTGAAGTTCTGTTTATTGAAATAATATTGAATGACAATTTATCTTAATTTTACAAAGACATATCAAATCCAAATGCTGGTGCATTTATCTTGATTATGCTTGAGAATAACATCAAATGACTTAGATTTCTCTCTCCATTATGTAGCTTTACTTGGTCTTCAAGGGAAATGATCACGACACCTTGAAACCCATAAATGATCTTGAGAGAGTATTTTAGCTAGTTCTTGTCAAGGGGAATCTTTTAATTAAATTAAAAAATTAAGGGGAAACATCCTTATTTCTGGCAAGGGATCATCACTGATGGCCATATTGTTGTATAATGTATAGGTCACATCCACACCCTAGTTAAAGCGCAAGGCTTTCCCCCAAAGTACCCTGTGGGCTGTAGTTTGCTAAGTAAGGGTGCTGGGAATTGTAATTGTGTTTGGGGCGGGGAATAAATCTCTCAGGATTCTTTTCTGAGAAGCCATATGCTTTGAATGTGCAAATTGTATGGTATGGATACTTTTGTAAAGTTCACTGCTTAGCGCTGGAAAACACATTTCTCCAGTGTATGTATAACAAAGAAGCCCAACAGCAAGAGAAGAGCAGTATCAGAGTCAACTGTTGTTACCATTTTCCTGCTTTCCTACGGCTCCCCCCAAAGGTTGAGGAGAGACACAGGACCATCTTTTGAGGACACTGGAACCACCCAATACCGTGGAACCTTGGTTTCTGAATGGCTTAGTTGCCGAACAAATTGGCTCCTGAACGCCACAAACCCGAAATTAAGTGTTCTGGTTTGCGAACATTTTCCAGAAGCCGAACATCCGATGCAGCTTCCGCTTGAGTGCAGGAAGCTCCTGCAGCCAATCAGAAGCCGCGCCTTGGTTGTCGAACGGTTTTGGAGGCCTAACAAACTCCCAGAATGGATTGAGTTCGAGAACCAAGGTACTGCTGTACTGACTTGTAACAGCTGGCCTGTAGCGGGAAGTTTAAATGAGAAAAAATTGTTAGTTTGATGTGGATCATTTTGGGATGAGGAAGAGGTTTTGTTTCTTTGTTAATTAGTGGGTCGATGTACGGCTTTGTTTATTATTTGAGTATTTTTAAATGAATGTTATGTTATGTGAAATATATTGATGTATTATATGATTTCCCCCACTTTCCACCTCCCTTACGGATATATTGTATATCCTTTTCTTCTTCTTGCTGTTAAGAGACCTTCGAGTGACAAGCAACTAATAAGTCTAATACAGTGGTACCTCTGGTTAAGAACTTAATTCATTCTGGAAGTCTGTTCTTAACCTGAAACTGTTCTTAACCTGAAGCACCACTTTAACTAATGGGGCCTCCGGCTGCCGCTGCACCGCCATCATGCAATTTCTGTTCTCATCCTGAAGCAAAGTTCTTAACCCAAGGTACTATTTCTGGGTTAGCGGAGTCTGTAACCTGAAGCGTCTGTAACCTGAGGTACCACTGTTAAGTGAAATGAAGCCACACAGGCACCAGAGCTGCTGAATCAGTGCTTCTGTACAATTCCATACTGTGAATGCAGTGATTCAGTACAGATCATGTAAAATATGGCATTCAACCAAGGGATGGGGAAGAAGATCGATCCAGTTCGCATTTAAAGGCAACTCTGTCAAATCTGCACCTTCAGAAGCTATATGGGGACACTAGGCTTTAGCAGACTAGGTGATGTGCAGCTTATAGTCAGTCTCTCATGCTGGATTCGGTCCTGCATTGTCTTGTCAACCCAGAGAGCCCTGTGTCACCAGTGCTACAGTTGTTGATGGAATAAGGAAAAGCCAAGGTGTGTTCCTCTTATTCTCCCTCTATGAGTGCCAAAGGCACCAATCTCTTTGCTTTAAAAGAGGGTGACTTTTTGAACTGAGTAATAGTCACCATGAGGTGTTAGAAAGAAAGTAATAAGTGCATTGCTTTTTCCTGACTTGAATTTATATCCATAATGTCCCTTACTGCTCTTACCTTTGTTCTGTACCGAAATCTAACACAGTGCCCCTGGCTTTGGAAACAAATAAATGGAAATTTTAAAAAGTGCAACATCAGAAATAATTGAAAAGAAGAAATAATGTAAAGCAGACTAGAAATGATCACATTCAGCTCAGGTAAAATATGGTACAATGTAAACAAAGCTAAGTTAGAGCCATTTGAATTAAGCATGTGCTTAATGGTCCCACTGGGACTTTAGTACCCAGCTGTTGATCCCAGACATTATATTATTTCTTCTGTTTATTGATCGAGCTGGTAAAGAGGTAGCATCCACAAAGGCCTTTTGTTTGTAATAGATAATTTTAGCCATTCTCTGTTATGTAACTGTTCGCTTCTGCCTTCAGAATCACCCTCAGGTCAAACTGCATAGCACATCGCTGTGGGCTAAGACACATATTTTTAAGAGTGGTTTTCTTATCTCAATTTGTTTAAGGATCACTGGAAACACAGCACAGTCCACCTGCTCTGATTGGCTTCACTGAGTTTACCTTATGAGGCAGCACACTGTTTTTGGTTTTTTTAAATAAACCTGATAAAACTTGAGTTAAGGTAAGGTAAAGGTAAAGGGACCCTTGACCAGTAGGACCAGTCGTGACCGACTCTGGGGTTGCGGCACTCATCTCGCTTTATTGGCCAAGGAAGCCGGAGTACAGCTTCCGGGTCATGTGGCCAGCATGACTAAGCCGCTTCTGGCAAACCAAAGCAGTGCACGGAAATGCCGTTTACCTTCCCGCTATAAAGCGGTACCTATTTATCTACTTGCCCTTTGACGTGCTTTCGAACTGCTAGGTTGGCAGGAGCAGGGACCGAGCAACGGGAGCTCACCCCATCGCGGGGATTTGAACTGCTGACCTTCTGATCGGCATGTCCTAGGCTCTGTGGTTTAACCCACAGCGCCACCCGCGTCCATTCTAGCAAAACACCACAGTGTCTGTGTACTCAACTCCTATGGCAATGTAAAGGGGAGAGGAAGGGGATCTATCCACCCCCTTCTTCGGTGATTGCAGGACAAAATGGCACCAGAAAGTGCCTTCAGTCTTCTTTCCATCGCGTCTTTGATCCATGGAGTGCTGCTGACACCACCTGCCTCTTCCTCCTTGTACCCACCACCTTCTTCCTTGCCACAGCCGCTTCTTCAAGCATCCCTCATTCAAGCATCATATGATCTTATATAATCCTTAAATATTCTCCATTCTCCAAATATTTTCTGGTTCAGTACCAACCACACCATATTAGCAGAACTTGCGTGATACTTGTAAACACAACAAATACCGTTTGTGGAGTTGACAGGAACAATATTAAAGAATTTAAACTGTGCGGAGGGAAACGACAGTATAAAAAGTACAATGAGAATGATTGGAAGACGCATTTTGTCAGAAGTCTTTTTATTTAAGTGTTTATTTAAGTATTAAACTTAAGATTAATTTAAGATTAAGTTTTTTATGCACGTAAATCTGCTTTTTCTTCTTTCTTCTTTCTGTATTTTCTTTTCTTTTTCCTTAATTGTTTTTTCTATAATTTTCTTTTATTAGTATGAGATTGCAAATTCTTTGTATATGTGTGTAATTTAAATTAATGAAGATTATTAAAAATATTTTTAAAAATAAATAAATATAAATAAAGGCCTTTGGTTTCAGTGTTGTGCTCTCTCCAGAATCCAATGCTGACCGAGACGCCTCTCTCCCAGAACAGCCAGCTTATATATAGCAAGGGAGTGGAGGAGAGGGACAAAGGCTTCACTCAGGTCCACTCCCAAGCTGCGCCCTCCACAAGCTCCCAATTTGGCTCTCATAGCCATGCAAGCATGCCCAGCATCCAGTGCAGGAAACAATCCCTTGTGTCCTGATGGAGCTGGAAGGGAAGAATCTACCCTTTCTGCTGTGGCAGTGCCATGCCACAAGTGCTACCTCATCGGGATACCACTGGAGAATGGTAACTCTTTTACCCCATCTGGTTTCCTCCAAACCAGGGGTCAGCAAACTTTTTTAGCAGGGGGCCAGTCCACTGTCCCTCAGACTTTGTGGGGGGGCTATATTTTTTGGGGGGGGGATGATGCAAGAGCACCATGAGCCCCGGTGGCTGCTTACCTGTGTCTTGCGAGTGGCAGGGGCTGGCGGCGGCGGAGGGACAATGAGCGACGCGCAAAAGAGCTCCGGAGAGGGGCTGGTTAAAATGGTGGCCGCTTGAGAGGGGCGTTCAGCCAACCGCGGCTCCTGTGTCTTGCGAGCGGCAGGGGCTGGCACCAACAAAGCCCACCCCCCTTCCTCCTCTAGGCAGGGTGGAGAGAAGCCAGGAGGAGGGAGGGATGAGCGGTGGCACCGCCGCCGCCATGTGAGGGAGAGGGAGGGAGAGGGAAAGAATGCGTGCGCTGGCGATCCACGTGGCTATTCCCAGACTGTCCACAGGCCAGATCCAGAAGGCAATTGGGCCTAATCCAGCCCGCGGGCCTTAGTTTGCCGACCCATGCTCCAAACAGCCCTAGTCAGAAAGTCTCCCTCCAATATGACTTGCCCTTTCCTTTCCACAAGCATCAGCTTCTTCCCCAAACTGTTATCTTCTTCCCCTTCCCTTCCTTCCTTGAGCATCTCCTTGCCCCTGCATCAGTGGCCACGCTGCCCATTAGTCCACACCTGAGAGAGACTGGGGGCAGGCTGGTCTGAAGGGCCAAGGGGGTTTCTCCCACTTTTCCACAGGAAATAAAGTTACATTTCTCCTAACGCTTGAAGCGCAGCTTG